GGAAAACGAAATGTTATGTTCCTCATAGTTCTTCTCTTAAGAGACAAGTGGACAAAAAAATAAAATAAAAATGAGACTCTACAATGATGAATAGCATAAGGCAATCAAAACCAAACTCAGGAGTATGTAGTGGCTACTTCATGGTGCCATATCAATCACATTATTTCAGAATGAGTGACTACATTTAAAATATTTTATTGATCTTGTGATTCTTGTTTTTTTTTTTTTCCCATGAGAGCAGTTAGGAAACTCTTACTAATGTTCCTTAAATTTAGTGTTTAGGGACCAAAAATAGGAAATCCTGAAAAATCATTTCCTATCCTATTGGCCCAAATCTCTGCTTTGTAAGACACTCCTCTATCTTAGAAGCATTACTCCTGTCCGGGTTAGATCCATCAACAACTAGGTTACAGTAGCTTCCAGCTTCTTCAGCCAGTATTTGGGACCTGGAAGTCACAGTAAACTTCACACTTTGGTGGAAATTTAGTAGTATGTTGCTGACAACAAATGAATTTGTTCCCCCTCCTGCCAGCCCTGCCCTTGGGATTCATTCATGCAGCTATAGTAAATAGCATTTTCCATGTAGTGTCTCTACAAGGACAATCAATTCAGCAACAGACTTTCTCCTTTAAAAAATAAAAAAGTAAAGTAATTAAAAGCTGCTATCTTCTTACAACAAAGACCTGAGAATATAAAAGTACTTCTTCACTTATTAGATTATGATACTGACCTTTTAAGCAGTGTCTTAGCTCTGAGGATGATGAGTGACTTGCGCAGTAAGCAATCTGAAGACACCAAGGTAATTCTGCTGTGGGCCAAGTCATTCATTTAGTCAAGGGTGTTCCTGCCATTTAGCAATGAGCCTGCATCTTTTAAAAGCACAGTCATTTGACTTACTTCCTCAGCATAAAGGTACTTGACCTTGTCTGCTGCCAGGCAGGTAAATGCACGTATTAAATTGCCTTTGACAATAGAGAAGTTTAAGACTTAGGTGACTGTTGGAAACTTAGCTGAATAGTTGCTCTAACTTCAACAAAATCACCTGCTTAATCTGTCTAAATCTCCAGGGAAGCCACAAATAAAATGAGTGCCCTAAAAAAACAAATTTTTTAAAACTACATAGTTTACATATATAAAAAACTACATGCATATAAAAATATTTGGGGCCAGATCAACATATAATTTGAGTATTTTTTATAGAGTTTACAGACTACAGTATGTAGAGTGCTAGAATCTTTCTGATATATATGTGTGTATGTATCATGTATGTATGTATATGTGTATATATAAATATAATATCACTATATAGCATTGTGCTGATATAATCAAAGGTAGATTTAGGGATTAATAAAGCCAGATAATATTTCTTGGAAAAATAAAGAATTATCTTCAATTTATATGGATAAAAGAGATGGTAATGTTTTTTCACCTATTAAATCAGTGAATTCTTCAGCTTTTTCTAGTTTGTAACGAATAAATCCCAGACCTCAGGGCTACAGTGAGAAATAGTTTTTCTTTGGTATAATACATCAGGGTTTGGTTCTGCCAAAGTCTGCTGGGCTCAGCTCAGGTTGGCTTAGCTCCATGTGTGTTTTCATTTTGGAACCCAGGCTAAAGGAGCAGCCCCTGTCTAGGACATGGTATCCTGATACAAGGATGGCACAAAAAGGCCCTAGCCAAGCCACACAGTCACTTTTAAGCTTCTGCTCAAGTGGGGTAAATGAACATCTTGTTCCCTCACATTCCATTAGCCAAAGCCTGTGCCATAGCCAAGCCTAAAGCCAGTGGATGGTAAGCAGGATGAAGGTTGTATAGTTGTTTCTTCACATCCTCACCCTCTTTTCCATCACTTTTATCATAAGCCTAGAGAGTGGTAATCAGAATGTTCTTCCAAATGGAAAGCTCTGGGGTTACAGTCTGAGCTTGCTTTTTCCTCCTGCCCACCACCTCACAACTTAACTTCCTCACCCCATCACTCAACATGACACCAAGTGCCCTTGCCTCTCTGGGAACTTCTCTCCACCATGAAGGAGGACAGAATACTCTAGTGCTACTCTGAGAAACTGGTATTGCTGTTTTTCTGTCTCTAGTAACATACTTCAAGGCAATACAGAGAAAAGAAAACTAAGAAGCCCCATGCCATCTGTCCTTTGTCTGTAGCTGCCTACTTTTCCCATGCAGGGGTGCTGTTTGCTGTCCACACTGAGACCCAACCACTCCCTCTTGAATAGTTTCTCAGTTATATATGAGTTTCTGAGATCTGTCAGCCTCGTTTTTCTTTCTGTGGCTTCTCTAGTGTTGGATTTGGGGAGAGAACAAGTAGCTGGTGTAACCTGCTTGTTGAAATAGTTTCTCAAGCTACTTTGAGTTGTATAACCAGTTATTTGCACATCCTAAGGATAAATTGATCCATAATGTTGGAAACTTAGCAACAAATTTTGAATGGCACAGAAGGTATAAGAATATAACAGAAATTTTCTTTTCAACCTGAGCTTTGAGGCTGTAAGACACCATATAGAATTTTCTCAGTTTTGTAATTGATGCGCTTTAATGTTTTTGCACCATGCAAATTTTCAGAATCACTTCCAGAAGCCTGAAAATCATGTTTCTTAAAAACGGTATTTAATTATGCTTTGTCATATAAAATACATTGTGATAAATCTCTGATTCTTAAAAAAAAAAAGTGTCATGTATATGTAAGTACATATGCACACTTATGTATGTAATTTCTGCCTTCCATTCTTAGAGCGTTTGTCAATTATTTATGCCCATGGGGAGCAATTTTCCCCCTCTTCCCATATGCCTAGAAGTATGACTCTCATTACTTCCAGATGGGTAATCTGATGCTTTAAATTATTACACTAGCATTACTTTCACTAAGAGTTTATCATGAATCAATATTTTTTGAAGTTAAAAAAATCCTGATTTAGAAAACAAAGTTGTGAACGGCCAACTGAGGAATAAGAGCTGAGTGATGAAACACCTGGCTAAAGAAGGAAAAGGAAATGACCCTATGCTGAAAGGTGGTATTTGGTATTAAAGTAAAATTTCAGAACCCAAATGGACCATTTTTTAGATATATCTTCTTTAAACCAAATTGAGATATGGACAAAGGTAAAGGGAACTAAAATACTCTGAGCAGGGTCTGAGTCCAGCAGGGAAGTCATCTTCAGATGTGCTGCCATGGAGCAGGCTGACTTCCTTTGTTAGTAAACACATTCATCTGCTGTGGCATAGACCAGCCTTTGTTTGGATTCTCAGGGATTCTTGTATTGGGTACATGTTTTTCTGTAGTAGCATTGTCTCAAAGAATTATAAGGGAAAACTCAGCCACAAGAAAACTTTGGACAGCAGCATTCATATTGAATTGTACTTGGAGTCCAGAGTTACAGTAAACCTTGTACAAAAAAGTAAAAACCAGGAAGGAACAAAATAACGGCATTCGCGTGACCTGGATGAAACTGGAGACCGTTATTCTAAGTAAAGTAACTCGGGAATGGAAAACCAAACATTTATATTCTCACTCGTAAGTGAGAGCTAAGCTATGAGGATGCAAAGGCATAAGAATGATACAATAAACTTTGGGATCTGGTGGGATGGTGAGGGTGGGAGGGAGGTGAGGGGTAAAAGACTACAAATTGGGTACAGTGTATATTGCTTGGGTGATGGGTACACCAAAATCTCAGAAATTACCACTAAAGAACTTATTCATGTAATCAAATACCACTTGCTCCCCCAAAATCTATGGAAATAAAAAAACAAAAATAAAAAAGTAAAAAACAGGAGGCTTATTAGATTAAATGAACATATAAATGTCTGCTAATATTATAACAAATGCTACAAAAGATAAGTTATGCAAAAACTGATATTTGTTTTTAATAATACTGTCTTGTCGGTTTGGGCAGCTACAACAAAATACCATAGACTGGGTGGCTTACAAACAAGTGAAATTTATTTTTCACAGCCCTGGAGGCTGGAAGTCCAAGCTTAAGGGCAGAGGGAGAAAGCCAGCTCTCACTAAGCCCATTCATGTGGTCTCCATTTTTATGACCTTTCATAACCTCCATTTTCAAAGGCCGCACCTCTTAATGTCGCCACATTGGGGTTAAGGTTTCCACCTAAAAATTGGGAGAGGGGAGTGATGGCAAATATTCAGCTGGTAGCAACTACCTAATAATTAAAGGTGGCTCATTGCTTCTTAGTGGTCATCCTGCTTCCAGTCTTGTCCCTGACAGGGTGTTCTCCACATGGCAGGTACAGATTGTGAATCAGACTACGTCAGCCACCAGTTATAAACCAGTCATTGTCTTCCCAGTGCTCTCAGAACAAAATCTGAGCCCCCTGCTGTGGCCCTGCCTCACTCTCTGGCCTCATTTTCTACCTCTCCCCTTCTCATACACCATCTTCCAGCCATGCTGAACTTCATGTTTCTCTAGCACTCTGAGTTTGTCCCTGCTTCAGGGCATCTGCACTCCTGTTCTGTTTTCCAAGCATTCTCTCCTTTCCTGATCTTTTTATTGTCCACTGTCTCTTGTTATTCTGTTCTCAGCCTACATGTCACCTTCTCAGAGAGGGCTCCCATGACCACTAAATCTAAAGTCACCATCAGTTTAGTTGCTTGCACATTACCCTATTTTAGTTCTCTCTGTGAATTAGGTAATGAAACTCTGCTTCTTCGTTGACTCTCCCACCAGAATAGAAGACAGCAGCACTCTTGTCTGCTTAAAATAGAAATTATCAATAAATATTTGGTGACTAAAGAACTGCAAAGGCTGTCTGGGCACGATGGCTCACACTTGTTATCCCAGTATTTTGGGAGGCCAAGATGGGTGGATCGTTTGAGGTCAAGAGTTCGAGACCATCCTGGCCAACATAGCGAAATCCCGTCTCTATTAAAAATACAAAAATTAGCCGGGAGGTATCCCAGCTACTCGGGAAGCTGAGGCAGGAGAATCGCTTCAGCCTGGGAGGCAGAGGTTGCCAGTGAGCCAAGACTGCACCACTGCACTCTAGTCTGGGCAACAGAAGGAACTGCAACAAAAAAGAACTGCAGAGGCCATCACTTTGCTAATGTTTTTCTTATTCCCACAAAATTTTTGTGTGAGAAAAATTAATGGGGAGTCAAAAGGGTTCTAGTTAGATAATCCACATAGGTTTCGCATCTCCGTGTTAGAGATGTATTTGGACTTTGTGCCAAACACTCTGATTTTTAAATAGTGGCAGAATCTTAGGATACTAAAGAAAATGTTAGAATCCTTAAATATTAACTCTAGGAAGCAATTTAGGAAATCGCTATTAACCTTCTTTGCTTTAAAAATGAAGAAAACTGAAAAAAAGATGTGAAGTAACTTCCCTCATATTGCAATTAATTTATAGCAAACCCGGGAGCAGATATGTATGAATAAAATGATGGTTCCATTTCAGAGGCTTGAGGAGCCTTCCATTGAAAATCACAAAATGAGCAATTGCATTCACCTCTTCTCCCTTCCATTTTCCTATTGAGATGACAGAAAATATTTTTGACATAATAAATTTATATAGGTACTGGAAAATATGAAATACTGAAATCAGTGAAAAAGAACTTTAGAAGAATTTCTGGAAAACAGCAAGAAGATGAGATTTGATTGGCAGAAGAATACAGGGGAAACCACAGTCCAAGGTACCAGCTCCTGGTACACTTTATCCCATGAGAGTCCAGAGAGACGCACAGCTTAACAAAGACTACAGGCAAGGTGGGCTGGGGGCCTTTGTATGTGCACATTTCTAAAACTAAGTAGAGATAATGAGAGAATATAGGTGGAGGAAGAATTTTTAAGAAGCTGTAATTAGAATCCATACAGTGATTAGAAAAAGACATTTCAACTACAAAATGAAACAAGCTGTAGGTGAATGAGTCAAAAGAAAATGAATTCCTAGAAATTATAAATATGATTAAGGAAAAATTCATTGAATAGGACTGAATAGTATGAATGACAGATAACTCTGACAACCAAGCTGGTGATCTGAATTTAAGATTAAGGAACTCTCCCAGAAAGGTAAAACAAAAGACATTATTCATTATATGAATAATGACCAAAGAAAAAGATAAGAGGAGGCCACATTAGGAAGACCATCATCTAATCAGAATTTCAGGATCAGGGAACAGTGTATGGGAAGAAGTAATAATACTAAAAAATACCAGTAATAACAGAAGAAAAATTTTCTTGCACTTTGGAGAAACACAGATCTTCAGGCTGAGAATACCTTAATAAGTATTAAGGTAGACAGAAGAAAATGCACAGCAAGACATAATCTAATGAAATTTCAGGGACCCTTTTCACAAGATGGTGCCGAAAGCGAAGAAGGAAGCTCCTGCCCCTCCTAAAGCCGAAGGCAAAGCGAAGGCTTTAAAGGCCAAGAAGGCAGTGTTGAAAGGTGTCCACAGCCACAAAAAAAAGAAGATCCGCACGTCACCCACCTTCCGGCGGCCCAAGACACTGCGACTCCGGAGGCAGCCCAAATATCCTCGGGAGAGCACCCCCAGGAGAAACAAACTGGACCACTATGCTATCATCAAGTTTCCACTGACCACTGAGTCTGCCATGAAGAAGATAGAAGACAACAACACACTTGTGTTCATTGTGGATGTTAAAGCCAACAAGCACCAGATCAAACGGGCTGTGAAGAAGCTCTATGACATTGATGTGGCCAAGGTCAACACCCTGATTCAGCCTGATGGAGAGAAGAAGGCATATGTTCGACTGGCTCCTGATTACAATGCTTTGGATGTTGCCAACAAAATTGGGATCATCTAAACTGAGTCCAGCTGGCTAATTCTAAATATATGTATATCTTTTCACCATTAAAAAAAAAAGAAGAAATTTCAGAACTGTAAGAATGAAGATTTTTTGTTTTATTATTTTATTTTTAAATTGACAGATTAAATTGTATGTATGTTTTAAAATATATATACTTTGTAGAATGACTAAATCTAGCTAATAAACATAAGCATTATCTTTCATAGTTAACACTTTTCTGATGGAACACTTAACATTCACTCTCTTGGCATTTTTCAATGATACAATATATTATGAACTATAGTCACCATGTTGTACAATAAATTCCTTGAACTTATTCCACCTAACTGAAATTTTTAATTTTTTTTAACCAACATTCTTCCCAACCTCCCCCTGCAACCATCTCAGCCCCTAGTAACCACCATTCTACTCTTTACTTCTGTCAGATCAACTGTTTTAGATTCCACATATAAGTGAGATCATGCAATATTTGTTTTTCCATGCTTAGTTCATTTCACTTAATATAGTGCCCTTCAGTTTTATACATTTTGTTGCGAAGGATAGTATTTCCTTCTTTGCATGGCTGAATAATATTCTGTTGTGTGTATATACCACATTTTATTTATCTATTCATTCACTGATGGACACTTAGGTTGATTACATATCTTATCTCTTATGAGTAATACTGCAGTAAACATGTGAGTGCAGATATGTCTTAATATGCTGATTTTGTTTCCTTTGGATTTATACCTAGTAGTGGAATTGCTAGATAATATGGTAGTTCTATTTTTAATTTTTTGAAGAGCCATTCTACTGTTTTCCATAATAGCTGTACTAATTTCCATTTCTATCAACAATGCGTAAGGGCTCTGTTTCTCCACATCTGGGTCAGAATTTACCTTTTGTCTTTAAAAAAAAAAATCTTTTCACAAAGGCAATTTAGTTCTATAGAAGGGTGCATCTCACAAATGGAGCAATGGTGAGAGCATGACTGAACAAGGGAGGGGAAGGGGTTCTTATCCCTGACACCAGTAGCCCCTACTGCTGTGTCTTCCCCCGATTGGCTAGGATTGAACCACACAGTCTAAGATAATTCCAATAGGCTATTTTAAAGAGAGCAGGGGTTAGAACTAGAGTGGTGGGTTGAACAGTTTCAGCGGGAAAGACGGTTATGGAACAGGTGACTAAAGGTAACTCAAGTCAGAGCAGGTGACCGGGTGACTCAGGACGGAGCAGGTGACCAAGGGAACAGATGTGAACTACTGATTACAGCTGGTGGGAAAGTTGTTTACTGAAACTAGGGGCAAGGAGATGAGGAAGTTAAATTTTAAAATGGAGAACAAAGTACAAGGAAACTGAACATACTGACATAATGATTCTTTGAAGAGAAACTTAGAACTCACTGTATTTATCAACTCCCCCCTCTTGAATTTTATGGTTCTTTTTCTTCAAACTTCCTTAACATGTCTCACTTAGTAGTTCTGCTTGAATCTCTAAAAGAAGATGCTTCTCTGAATAAGGTGGAGGAGAGTTAAGGGAGGTATTAATTAAATGCTATTTCTGTGAGTCTTTGCAATTTGGTGGTTCTAAGTTCTTTGAGAAACTCTCCAAACTGCTTTTTACAGTGGCTGAACTAATTTATAGTCTCACCAATAGTATATAAGCATTCGCTTTTATCCACAGCCTTCCCAGCATCTGTTGTTTTTTTGAGTTTTTAGAAATAACCATTCTGACTGGTAAACATGGTATCTTATTGTGGTTTTGATTTACATTTACTGATGATTAGTGATGTCGAGTATTTTTTATGTTTGTTGGTTGCCTGTATGTCTTCTTTCAAGAAATTTCTGTTCATATCTTTCTTTTCCCCATTTTTAATAGGGTTACTTGCTTTTCACTTGTTCAATTGTTTAAGTTCCTTAGAGATTGTGAATACTAGACCTTTGTCAGATGTGTAGTTTACAAATATTTCTATTTTGTAAGTTATCTGTTTACTGTATTGAAATTTATTTTACTATGAAGAATCTCTTTCATTTAATTAGGTCCCATTTGTCAATTTTGTTTTCATTGCAATTGTTCTTGAGGACCTCCCCACGGCCGACATCCAGAATGGTGTTACCCAGATTTTCTACTAGGATTCCTTTTTTTTTTTTTTTTTTTTTTTTGAGACAGTGTTCTGCTGTTGCTGCCCAGGTTGGAGTGCAGTGGTGTGATCTCAGCTCCCTGCAACCTCCACCTCCCAAGTTCAAGCAATTCTCTTGCCTCAGCTTCCTGAGTAGCTGGGATTCCAGGCATCTGCCACCACATCTGGCCAAGTTTTTGTATTCTTTTAGTAGAGACGGGGTTTTGCCATGTTTAGTAGAGATGGGGTTTTACCATGCAGGCTGGTCTCAAACTTCTGACCTGAGGTGATCTGATCTGCCCACCTTGGTCTCCCAAAGTGCTGGGATTACAGTATTCTAAGATTCTTATAGTTTGAGGTCTTACATTTAAATGTTCAATCCATCTTAGGTTAATTTTTGTAGATGGTGAAAGATAGGGGTCCAGTTTTATTCTGCTGCGTATGGCTAGCCAGCTATGCCAGCACCTCTTAATGAACAGGGAGTCCTTTCCTCATTGCCTATTTTTGCCTTTTTAGTAGAATAATTTATTTTCTATTTAAGATATTTAAACTTTGTTGAATATTAGATGGCTGTAGGTGTGTGGCTTTATTTCTGGGTTCTCTATTCTGTTCTACTATTCTATGTGTCTATTTTTGTGCCAGTACCATGCTGTTTTGGTTACTATAGCCTAATAGTATGAAGTTGGGGAGTATAATGCCTCCAGCTTTATTCTTTTTGCTTAAGATTTCATTGGCTCTTCAGGCTCTTTTTGGTTCCATATGAATTTAAAATTTTTTTTTTCTGAATCTATGAAAAATGATATTGGTATCTTGATAGGAATACCACTGAATCTTTAGACTGTTTTGGGCAGAATGGCTATTTTGATGATATTGATTTTCTAATCGATGAGCATGGAATATTTTTCCATTTTTAAATGTTATCTGTAATTTCTTTCAGCCGTGCTTTGTAGTTCTCTTGTGGAGAGCTTTCACCTTTTTGGTATTAGATGTGTTCCTGGGTATTTTAATGTTTTGCAGCAATTATGGATGGGATTGCATTCCTATATGGCTCTCAGCTTGAATGTTATTGGTGTATAGAAATGCTACTGATTTTTGTACGTGGAATTTTTATCCTGAAACATCACTGAAGTCATTTATCTGTTCCAGAAATCTTTTGGCAGAGTCTTTAGGGTTTTCTAAGTATAGAATTCTATTGTCTATACTTAGAGAGTATATATACAATGTCTGTACAAAGAGAAATAGTTTGACTTCCTTTTTTCTATTTGGATGCCTTTTATTTCTTTCTTTTACCTGTTTGCTCTGGCTAGCACTTCCAATACTATGTTGGAGTGGTAAGAGTGGGCATCCTTGTCTTCTTCCAGTTTTGAAGGGGAATGCTTCCAGCTTTACCTGTTAAATAGGATGTTGGCTGTGGGTTTGTCATAGATGGCTCTTATTATTTTGAGGTATGTTCCTTTGATGCCTCTAGTTTTTTTGAGGATTATTATCATAATGCAATGTTGGATTTTATCCAAAACCTTTTCTGCTTCTATTGAGATGATTACATGTTTTTTGTTTTTAATTCTGTTTCTGTGATGAATCATATTTATTGATTCACATATGTTAAATCAACCTCGTGTCCCATGAATAAAGCTCACTTGATTTTGGTGAATTAATTTTTTGATGACCTGCTGGGTTTGGTTTGTTATTATTTTGTTGAGGATTTTTGCATCTATGTTCATCAGTAATATTTGGTCTGTAGTTTTCTTTTTTCATTGTGTCTTGCCAGGTTTTGGTATCAAGGTGATGGTGCCTAAAATAAGTTAGAAGTCCCTCTTTGATGTTTTGGAACAGTTTCAGTAAAATTGGTATCAGCTCTTCTTTGTATGTCTGGTAGGATTTTGGGTTGCATGGATTTTTGGGTCTCAATTTTGTTCAGTTCTGCTCTGATTTTAGTTATATCTTTTCTTCTTCTAGCTTTGGGGTTCCTTTGTTCTTGTTTTTCTGGTTCCTGTAGGTGAGATGTTAGATTATTAAGTTGATATCTCTCTAACTTTTTGAGGTGGGCAGCTAGCACTATAAACTTTCTTCTTAGTGCTGCTTTTGTTCCATTCCACAAATTTTCATATGCTGTGGCTCTGTTTTCATTTATTTGATTTTTTTTTTATTTCTACCCTAATTTTGTTATTTACCCAAAAGTCATTTAGGAGTAAGCTATTTAATTTCCATGCAATTTTATGATTTTGAGAGATCTTTTATTTTTATTTTTATTTCACTGTGGTCCAGGAGTGTGGTTGGTATGATTTAGATTCTTTTGAATTCGTTAAGACTTGCTTTATGGCCAAACATGTGGTCAGTCTTGAAGTATGTTTCTTGTCCAGCTGAGAACAATATATACCCTGTGGTTGATTGGTGGAGTATTCTGTAGATGTCTGTTAGGCCTAGTGGGTCAAATGTTGAGTTTAAGCCCAGAATTTCTTTATTAGTTTTTTCCCTCTGTTATTTAATACTGTCAGTAGGGTGTTGAAATCCCTTACTATTATCTAAGTCCTTTGTAGATCTAGAAGTACTTATTTTATGAATCTGGGTGATCCAATGTTGGGTACATATGTATTTAGGATAGTCAAGTCTTCTTGTTGAATGGAATCCTTCATAATTATGTAATGCCCTCTTTTATCCTTATCTGATATAAGGATAGTGACCACCACCACCCCCCACTCTTTGTTTTCCACTTGCATGATTGATCTTTCTTCAACCCTTTACTTTGATCCTATGTATGTCATTATGTGTGAAATGAGTCTCTTGAAGACAGCAGATGTACTTTTTTTAAAATTCAACTTGCCACTCTGTGCCTTTTAAGTGGGGTGTTTAGGCCATTTACATTCCAGGTTAAGGCTGGGTGTGGTGGGTCTTGCCCGTA